TACTAATAAATCAAAGAGAAAACAATTTAATCAAACCTATGCATATAAATAAATTAAGCACATAATATCCAATAATAAATTTCAAATCTTCTCAAATTACTAATTAAATAGACATAATTATCTTTATATAAGATTTTATAATATAAATAATATTCTTTTATTTAATCATATACTTTTAATACATTCATAGTCACATTACACTGTACCTACCTTCATTCACATATAAAAACTCAAATTCTCACAGAGCACAGAAACCGTTATATTTGGAAAGAAAAAATAAAAATCACTGTATTCGATATTTGAATTCAACGCTTTTCCGTGAGAGCAGGCCGTGACATCGGCAACCTCACTTCAACAGGTCGGATCCCACACTGCCCGGTTCCGTCCCGAACGCGCTCGCGCCAAAAATAATACTCCAGAAGGACTTCCCATTGACCGTGTTAGTATTGGAAAATGGCTTTCCCTGGTGCTCCATTATCACCGATAAATCGAACTTGGTTTGACACATGTAGACAAAAGCTTTGGGGGACATTTTGCTCCTAAGACACCTTGCGTTTCGGGTTTAACTTGAAACAAAAGAGCGATGGGAACAGTTGAATTTTTCATATAGCCTTTAAACATTCGCGTAAAATCTTTAATAGTATACATTAATTTAAGTAGTTAGTAAAAAATATTAGTCTTTAATAACTGTAATGAATATACTGAATATTCAATAGCTTAATCGAAATTTCTCATTAAACCACCATACTATATCTCAAAGCCAGGTAACTATACATATTTGAAAGCACACAAGATTAACACATACGGCTATAGAGTTACATTGATATAATATAGGTCATTACGTTGACATAAATAACAGTTATTGTTTATTTAAATCAATTTTAATTTGTACTTAATACCAAATTAAGTTCTGCCGATTAACCCTTTTAATTAATATTCTTCGACAAAGTAAAATTTAAGTGCCCCTTGAGTAAAAACTGAAATTATCATAAAATATATTTTAAATTAATGTTTTACCTATTTTATTAACAAATCTAAAAAACAGTCAAACAATCAAAATTTTCATTTTACTCACGATAGACGTTTAATTTTCTTTATAGGTAAAGTCTCAAAAAATATCTTTTACTTCGTTAATAGTACGACGAATCTTAGGATGCATTAGAGCCATTTTAAGTGCAACTACAATATTAGCCGCAAAGTGTTTCCCAGCTAAGACTTTTGATTGGAAATACTTTAACAAGAAGTGCATCCGCCTTTAAATCTTCTTATAAAATTAAATGAAATCATGATCTCAACTTCAATATCAATAAATATTTTATAACATACATTTTTCATGAAATAAAAATATTGTTTAAATACTTTGCATGTGTGTAAAAATAAACAAATATACAGACTTTCTAAAAGCATTAGAGTTTCCAAGTAAATCGCGTAGCTTTTAGCGATTATATAATGAAAGTATATTTATATAAAGCATTTATGAATGAAAATAAATTCTTATTTATAACGTTTTATAGATGACGCAATGATTTTTAGACTTTTTTCTTTTAAGGTAAAATACTTAGCACTTTAGAAATCTATAATTACTCGTGAAGTATATAATTAACTAAATGTTTTTTTTTCTTTTACTCATATTATTCAATGTTTTGTTAGTAGATATTTACAAACATTCTAAAGATTTCACTGTAAGCTATTCCTTCACAAGTATAGAAGCCAGCATCCATACAAATGAACGGTGTTCTATGGCTCAAATCTCAATATATATGTACATATATGAAAGCTTCATCAAAAGATACAACACGAAACTCCACGCATCCATTGAAACATTTCCGCAGAGACAAACAATATAGATGCTCCCCTTACTCAAACACCTTCAAATGATACTCATATACGCACTAAAACAATCAAAATACAACCGAAGTCAGGGCCGGGGTGTTACTTATGAGTGCCGATCAAATATACGAAGTCATTTCCAGTGATTCAGCACTTGATTGATGGCCCCTTTACATTCGCTTCGATATTGTACGCGTTCTGAAATTAATAACGTCTATTATATACAAACATGAAACTACCACTGTACTGATTTTTTTTTACAAGTTACAACCATTAGCGCTTGCATTAACAAGACTCATATCGAAAAAGTTAATAGCATCAGAATTTTCTACTTCAAATAACTATGAATGAGATAAATTTTAAAGTGTTGGAAGTGAAGGCTCTCATTAAATTTTATCTAACATTTTTTAATGTTGCCAAATTTTGATTTAATCCGTAAGATTCTAAAAAGCCTTTTAACATGTGGAAAGCATCTCAGACTTTAGTTTTTTATTTATTATGCATGTGTGAATTATGACATTAAGACTTTTTAAATACATATTTTAAACGTGTTTAAATTAAAGCTTTTGTATAATATATAATAAATGTTTAAGGCTAATTTCCTTGACACGAGAAGGATTCGAATCTGAAACCACCAAAATATTGGGTTCCAAGTGCTTTACCAACTAAGCTAGCGTCCCATATATGTCATGCTACATCTTTTGATTGAATTTTAATTACAGTATTAGCTTAACGTGTCTTTTATAATTAAATTAAACGAATTTAAATAAAAAAAAAACTTGTCAATATTTCGTTTTTTAATATACATATATCAAAGAAATTCATCATAACATAGTTCTAAAATTGCCAGTACTATAATTATAACTTTTGATTAATTTAAATACTGTCACAGATAGCTGATTAATATTCAGCCAACGATAAACACAATTAGGTATGGGATAAAAGGTCACCTGCTTAAAATTCAACCGCCCTGTATGTTCACCCACGCAACCGAGTTTCCGGTTTCCTATTTCCAAAAAAACATTCATGGTAATGAAATCAATACCGCAGATATAAAACTCTTGTTTATACAAATAGTATTTTATTATTATACGTATCAAAGAACGTAGCCATTGAATAAATAAAACTATAATTAAACAACATGAAATGACCATCCATGATGTGGTATTATATTTTAAGGTTTTAAACACTGACATCTTTGTCTCTAAAAAACTTGTACTTCTATATATTTAAACCAATCACTTATAAGGAATAGATACCACTTACTTTTATGGCTTATATCTATAGTCTTATAAGTCGAAGGTGGAACATGCTATAATGGTTATTGCATCCTATAGTCTACATATGTATACGGTGATCAAGAAAACCTATACTTTATAAAATATAAAAATTAGCAAATTACGGTATAAAATACATAAAAGTACAATTTAAAATTACGGTGTAGTCCTACTATTACGACGTTTCACTCTAAAACCTTCGCCGAGAGAAACATAAGTACTCCCTTAAATACAGTCAAAGTAGATTCTAAATATAGTTAACTTTACTTTCATCAGAACTGTTTACACCTTGTATAACGATTTATCTTTAAAAATATTATTAAAATGACAAATAATATTATATAAATGAATTTATGAAAATTAATGGAATCAGTTTATAATACTAATGTATTCAAATTCACAGACTTGACGGCTCTGGAAACCTCTTTTTGATACGAAAACTGACTGTACGAGCTGTAAACTGACTTATTCGGCCTGGATCGTGCCTTGACTAATAGAGGTGGAGACTAGCCCCTTGAGCTGGGTCACTGATTGATGATGGAATTTCTATCATCCAAAATCCCGTGATTTATACATACCCAAGATTTGATTTGATTTTGAAAGCTGCTACTCTCTCTTCTCGGGTATAAGCAATGCTTTCTTTTACACAGTGTAGACCGTAACAGTCCAGATCATCTCAAATCGAAGTTTCTGCACGAATAATTGAAGAGGCATTTCCCGCTGAATTTAGTGTGACCATTCATATTTGGTAGAAATTGAACTTCCTAAGCATAATATATACAAATATGTATATGCAAATTAAGACACAAGTGGAATATTATTCTACCATATTTTCTTAGTTTAACATCAACCAAAAGTATATAATGAGTTTATAACTGATTAATAAGCAAGCACAAAGAGTACCTAATATATATGTTTTGTTAATATCAAAACACTCAATGCTCTTTTTTTCCATCTTTAGTTCTGTTAGTTTCTAGAAATTAATCCTGAATGTCTTGTCATGGACGCAAGTTCAAAAGCTACGAGTCACATTACATTTAAGAATGACATAAATGCCACCAGCAAGATAAGACTGGGAGAAATACTTCTTCATATTTCTTGATCTTTTAGACTATTAACAAACACAAATAAAATAGAACTGAGATGTAGATGAATACCAAATCATGCCCAAGTTTTAGACTGCTTATAATTCTGCAATAAAAAGACTACCGATAGATGCCTTTATGTAACATCACGAAAAATATATGATTTAAAATAAAGATACCAAACTATTTTGGAACGTAAAGATTTTGTGACTGTAAAGCTGTGTAACGATACAATTCTATAATAGATAGAATTGTATCATTTACAACCTTAAGGGGCTCAAACAATGTACAAAAAAAATAGCTGCAAGTTAAAATAATTCAAAAGTGAATTTTCAATCTTTAAAATCCTAATGTACTGATAAATACTGATACAAATCGGCCACAAAATTATACATGAGCTCAGATCCACTTATAACGTTAAAAATAACACAAGTCAACAAAAAAAAAAAATTTTTTTGGGTTTGTTATTAAATTAATATTTTCTGATTTTTTACAACTAAAAGTAACCAGAAACTTCGTTCATTGCAAATAAAGTTTGCTTTTGTACAATTTACGATGAAAAATAAATATTTTAATATTTTGGCAGACAGTTTGAGGTGCAAGGGTTTTAACACGCTAGAGACGGAGTTGGTGGGGGGTTACAGGTGTGAAGCGGGGACCGGCAGGTAGTCTCGGTAGTATGCGCGTGAGCATTACCAAGAAACGACGTTATTTGTGTGGCGCGAAATCTAAAATGGCTTCCAAAAAGTGTAAAAATGACGTTAACTCTTTTTGTTATATTTGCGGCGAATTCATTAAAGTAAGAGCTATGAAATTCAGTTTGTCGTCAAATGTAAAACTCTGTGAAGCTTATGAAGCTTATTTTAATCTTCCCATTCGAAGTCAAGATAAAATATGGGCACCTAAATTCTCATGTAGTTACTGCAAAAACACATTAGAAGGTAAGAGAGTACATCATAACTTTCAAGGATACTAATCGCAAGAAAAGTACGATATGTTATAACCTGTGTGTATATGTATATACGTTTATATGTATGTTATTTTTTTTCAGCTTGGTATCGAGGAGAAAAAAAAAGTATGAAGTTTGCAGTACCAAGAATATGGAGGGAGCCCACTAATCACATCAGTGATTGCTACTTTTGTCTTGTCAATCCACGTAAGCGTCGGGCTGGCAAAAATGCCAAAAAGATTCAGTACCCAGAATTGCCATCAACAACCGCTCCGGTACCCCACAGTGAACATTTTCCTGTGCCTTCTCGTTCCAATTTGAAGGAAGAGCTCCCGCTATCACAAGATTGTAGTAGTAGCGAAGGCAGCGAATTCTTAATCAAATCAGTGTCTGTTGAACCACATCTTATTAATTCAGAAGAGTTTAATGATTTAGTAAGAGACTTAAACCTACCTAAAATTAAAGCAGAAATATTAGCTTCACGGCTAAAACAGTGGAATTTGCTCAAGCAGGATGTTAATATAAGTGATCAAAGAAAGCGTCATGAAATATTTTCTGGATTTTTTACAAAGAAAGACGGACTGTGTTATTGCAATGACGTGAAAGGTTTATTTGATGCGATCGGAATCCCTTGTGTTTCTTCTGAGTGGCGTCTTTTCATCGACAGCTCTACAAAAAGTTTAAAAGCAGTCCTCCTTCACAATGGAAATAAATTTCCATCACTACCTTTGGCTCATTCTGCAATGCTCAAAGAAAATTACGAAAGCGTTAAAATGGTGCTTCAAACTTTAAAGTATGAAGAGTATGCTTGGCCAGTTATAGGGGATTTCAAGATGGTAGGTTTTCTGGTGGGTATGCAAGGCGGATACACTAAATATTAATTGCTATCTTTGCTTATGGGACAGTAGAGCTGACACACTTCACTACAAGCAGCAGTTATGGCCAGAACGGATCGAGTTCCAGATAGGAAAACATAATGTCAAGAATGAACCGATTGTGAAGGCCGATCATATTTTGATGCCTCCATTGCATATTAAATTAGGCCTCATGAAGCAATTTGTGAAGGCTCTTCGTCAAGATTCTCCAGCTTTTGAATACTTAAAGAGTTTTTTCCCTAAACTTTCAGAGGCTAAAGTTAAAGCTGGTATTTTCGTCGGTCCACAAATTAAGAAAATAATGGCCAGTGAAAAATTCCCAGAGCTACTGAACGCTCACGAAAAACAAGCGTGGCTCAGCCTTAAAGCAGTGATCCATGGCTTTCTTGGCAATAAAAAAGCTGCAAATTATAAAGAGCTCATTTCTAATATGCTTGAGAATTTCAAACTCATGGGATGCAGAATGTCCCTTAAAGTACATATGCTACATGCTCACTTAGACCAGTTTAAAGATAACTTAGGGGCATACTCAGAAGAGCAAGGAGAACGCTTTCACCAAGATATGATAAACTTTGAACAACGTTATCAAGGACAATATAATGAGAATATGATGGGTGACTACATTTGGAGTCTAATACGAGAAGGTTCCTACTCACACAGAAGAAAAACAAAAAATATTCATTTCTAAAGTTTCTTACTGATTCTTTTTATGTATTTGGAGATTTATCTTTATTGTTCTTTGTAAATAAAGGTGATTAACATATAAATTAAAGTTCTTTTTCTTGCCTTTGTATTCTACTGAATTAAAAAAATAAGATTTTCTTAAAATTAGAAATTGCGTTCTGGTTGCTACAAAAGCAAACTTTATCAAATAAAAGTATTTTTTTATTGTTAAGTTAGACATTATTAATCTAAATCAGCACCACAGAACTCAGACTCAAAAATCGTGTTTACTTGTGTAATTAAAAGATTAATCTCATTGCTGGACCTATTCAAAACACACGACAGCGGCTCAATACGAGCACATTAGAAAAATTGAGAACACTTGACCGATAAATGTACTTTGGGTCCGTCATCTGACTCATGTCTGAAATATAAAATATTCCAAACATAATTACTATGGGATCTAAATATCAGTTAGATCAAAATTACAACATTTAAGATTAAAATGCTCTTCGTTCGTTTGCGGAAAATCAATCAAACTTTATGAAACTACTTTGAAACTCAGCTAGACGGGAAACCTTATATTACCCAACAACTTTGCGATTTTTTTCTATTTTGCTGTTAATTACTTTATGCCAATAAAGAAATGTAAACTGCATTCATTTTCTGGAGTAGCCAAATAAAATTGTCGTCGAAATCAGATTCCATCTAGCTTGAAAGGGGCCAAAACCGGAGGTCAGGATGAGAATATGACAACTACATAAAAATCAACGAAGAAAGTCTATCACGAAAGCACTTACCTTAAATAAGGTTTCATAATAAAATCTGTATCAAAACATAGTTCTTGATAACGTCCTCAAAAAGTAAGAAACTCTACTCAGACTTTGCGCCTCCGTGATCACAGTGCCCATTATTTCTTAACCCCCCCACGCAAACAGAGAGGTGTAATGATTTGACGTCGATGTGTGTGTGTGTCTGTCGGTGACATCGTAACTCTCAAATAGATCATCTGATTTCGATGCAGTTATACATTTGAAAGCCAGTTTCCTTAGTTATCTTTAGTTAACATCGGCCCAGCAATGATAAATTCTATTATTTTTTAAGACGATTGAGACTTTGTAAAAGAAGACTATAATGATTCACAAAAAACCTTTAGTTTCTAAATTTATTATTATTGTGCACATCCGTTAAATGGAATCAATGCCAAAAGCGAGTGATCATTCCATGTCAATAAACTCGATTATTCAATACAAAAGAACTTATTTATAAAGGTTACCTACTCTGTTGCTAGGCGCTACTTGTGTCACTTATAGCTATTTTTTGGTAACGTAAGTCCGAACACGAATCCATAAGACTGTGCATTTCTTTATGCTAATAGTTTATCGGACTATAGGGCGGAAATTACAAGGCAAGAATCGGGCCGATCTAATCTAACCATTGCGTGTCCCGCCCGATCATTAGCGCCATCCCCCGATTGAACCTTTGACCTGTACTTTTCAGCCTTCTTTCAAAAACGATATACGTTTCGCCTTCGATGCAAACAATCTTTTGCTTTTCGAGTCCACCTATACTACACTTAAATCTTGTTTATAATTAATTAAAAATGCTTAAGATTCCAAAGGAATTCATGAATAAATTTAATGAATCTTTTAATTAATCATAATTACATTTATTAAGATAATTATAATATCTAGTGACGTAACACCATTTATTCTACCTGAATTTAATCGAAAAACTTCGATTGACACCAGTTTTAGGTACGTCAATCACCATTAGATAAAGTACGTGAGCGAAGTGTTAATTTCTATGCGGCTTCCAAACTTTCCACGCCGACTTCTGGTGCGATTATACTACAATATTAACTTGATAATCATTATAATAATATTATTTTAATTTACAGTTAAATGGTTTTAGGAAGACAGACTTTCAGTTGATAATGATCTTTAAGTTTTTATGATGCCAGTGAAAACTAAGAGGACGTATATTTATCACATTGTACATTTATTTAAATTCTGTTATATGTACATATTTCATTTTTTATACCTGTGATAAAACTTAACAAATATTTAACAATAATTAATTAGACTTTAATATTAAGACATTTTTCATACCTCTATATTACAAATATATAAAAATAAATTATAAATCATTATATTTATTTGTGTTCCTTATAGAACGATCTAACGATGTATTTATATAAGGCCATGTTATATCTAGATAAATTATATATGAAACGATTTTGTTCTTATAAAATTATATATATCAATATAAATATTTATAAAAGGCCTTATACTCAACAGCATTCTCTATGATGTCACGGCCGCACAATTTCCGACGTCTGAGAAGTCATTCGCATACTCGATGCTGGATCTAACACTTTTGAACGGCGAGCATCTTAGCATAGGAAATAACATGCGAATAAATAGCTGTATGATTTACGTTGCAGTACGCATTTTGAACAGAATATTTATTCTGAACATGTTAAATATAAAACATTTTGTTTGTCAGCGCCATGAAAAAAATTATAGCAAATTATAGCGTCGCTATTGTTAATATAACATATTATCCTTCACTATCTTGACATTTAATTGAGAGGAGGGATCCCTATTATAGTAATTGAGGCTGTGATACTATTAATAAAATTTTATCTAGGTTATCCTTCGTCAGTAACTTAATAATAGGTGGTAGCAAAACTTTTGAAATTTCCACTTGGATTGTCAAGATTGATTAGTTTAAGTTGTAAACTTGCAGATTTTGATTACATTAAAAAATGGTGGTTATACCTCGAAAAAAAAATATTTCTGAATATAATATTGTTTTTTCATTCCCAAAAAACGTGTTGTTTTTAATCTACATGATACTTGTTAAATTGAATGTTGAAATTTTTCGCAGCTGACGCTTAATGAAGGTAGGTATTGCCATTTTTATATGACTCTTCATATAAAAACTGTAAATATGAATTACTTTTTCCTGTTTACTTGCTCGTTAAGAAAGGATTATTTAAAACTTTTTAACTATAAAAAAATATGAGAGGAATAAGAAAACAAAGATAGATTTAGTCATCTCATATTAAATACTTTTGATATGTAGTATATAATAAATAAAGCGTTAAGACTTCGATGCAAACCCAATTACTAGCATTGTAAAAGAGGATGAGCGTTCTGCAGGTTTAAGTGTACCTTGTTATTCGATGTTTTTGTTAAATATTGCAATTTCTTAATTTAAGCAATTACATTTTTACTCCGTTAAATGATTATTAAAAATTATGTTTTGTACTAAATTCTCATTGGAGATATTATAGTAATAGATAAAATGTAAGGCCAGACACCCTAAATTAATTTTCTACTAAGATAGTCCACCTGACAAAGGTTCCGAAATAGAATTAAGGTAATTATAATAATTATTAATGAAGAATGGATCTAACTTCATAATAATATAAGGTTGAAAATTACTTTGTAAAATTATTTTGTGATCAATATAATTATCGAAGTTTCTATTTTATCTTTACGTTTATCGCTTGGATATTCACAGACGATAGTTCTTAGTTTTCCATTAAAAGTTCGAATCGTTTTGAATTTATTAATGCTTGCTTCCCTCTAACAGGCAATTTTAAATGGACACGACCTTTTATTCTTATTGCATTTATTTCCATGTTATAATTTACTTTATTTATTTAGTCAGTTTTCTCTGTTATTAAAAAATTATCCGATTTATTTCCATCTAATGTTATATACATTAAAAACTGCATATACGCGAGTAAGTTGTTATAGTGGGAAGCAGAATGGATTATATGTATTATATACGAAATTCATTTAAAAGAATTAGATACGAATAAATATTAGTATTAATTATAAATACATTTATTTTCTTTCAGAATGTATAGGTCTACCAAGTTCAAGTGAATCTGATGACTTAGTTAAGCTTGTATTAAGACACACGGAACCCTTAACGTACGTTTTAAATGCTCAGGTATATGTCTAAGTAACCCTTCCTTGTAAATTCAACTTTCAAATAGCCGTGATAGAAAAATAATTAAAGTCCGATCATAGTTACAAACTTAAATTGATCTTTCAAACTATGAAATATCATCTTGAATGTAAATAATGTTTGGATTATGTAAATTGTTTTATAAAAATAAGATCAAGGGATAATTATAAAAAAGTTCTTGTTATGGAGAATCTCGAAACATTAATGTAACTTATATTTGATGATGCTTATGGCATTTTCTTGTAACAGAATAAATTATCAGCTGAATATTACAGGCACACTGATTAATATTGCGAAAACATCAACTGGATTTAGAAGGAATGTCACGAGAAGAAACTAGTCAAAAATAAAAAAAA